CGGCAATGTGTTATTTTTTCAACTTGAAATCATTTTTTGAGCGCGTTTTTTAAAATTTAAAAATCTTATTTTACCCGAAATACATTCCATCATGTTTGGAATTCCTATCTTATGAATTATAGAGAATTTTGCTGTTAACCTTTGAGTCATTTATAATTTATATAAGAAATTTATGGAAAGTTTAATATAAATTTTATTAAGTTTCTAAAGTTATGATTTAAAGTTAAAAAAATAACAAATTGCCGGAAAAAACACATTGATGCTAACATACATATTTTAAAGTTGAAAAAATAACAAATTGCCGGAAAAAACACATTGATGCTAACAAACATATATATTAAAGCGCCCCTTGATAACGTTTATTTAATCTAAGGAAGCTTCTTTTAGAGTTAAAGTCAAATAAAAATCTATTAAGCTCAAAAAAATAAATATTATATTGTTATTTGTAAAAATTTTAATGATATAAAAAAACTTACTTTAAAAATGATGGGTTATATAAATTATTTATTAAGTAACTTACAATGTTAATAGTTACTAGTACTTCTAAAATTTAAACCTTGAACTAGTCACCTTTTAATAACAATGGTATTTTTTATATTTATAAAGATAGCCGCCAACATAAATGAATTGATAAAAAATGACATGCAACTCAAATAAAAATGGCTGAATATATTTGAAGCGACAATACAATATAAATAATAATGGTCACCAATATATTAAAATGATATAAAGATATTTCATATATATAAAAACTTGACCTTAAATATATTTAACAAATCTTATAACGCAGCATTCTTCTAGTAATGGGTATTCCCCTCATATAGCTGCATATCCATTGTGAACCGAATACCTTACAAAATGAATAAGGTATTCAATATTCATCTCCTTAACGATACACCGTTCAAAATTCCGAAATGAATTATAAAGGTAGTATAAAAAAATTTAAAATGTCGGCCTTTAATTTTTTTAGACCTAATATTTAATTGCACATATTATAACTATTTTCACGAAATATACTTTAATGTCCCATCCTATATTAATATTTCTAAGGCTAAAGATTAAAAGAAATCGGACCGAAATATACAAATGTTTGATAAAATGCATGCAATGTAAAAGAAATCTTAAATTGCCACGTAGGATTAATCTACATTCGAAATAAATCAATAGTATTTTTCATCACGTGTTTTTTTTGTCTGGCTTACTCCTCTGTAATCGTCAAAATTATATCAAATCTTTTTTTATTATGTAAAAAATGTGGTGATTGAAAATTGATTGTTATAGTTACAATTGATATTAAAATGCATTATTTGAAATTTAGGGCAAAACGCAAACGCATCAATTTGGATTTTTATTTTGATATTTTGTTTTGTTTATTTTATCTACCAAAGCCAAGATTTTGATATTAATTTTAGGAAATGTCATATTGATTTTACATCAACAAAAAAAATGATATTAAAAAAATAAAATAAATTTAAAACGATTATGTCGTTTTTAATTATACAAAGCTTTCCCTTTTTAAAATATGAAATGAACCGATCCGAACCTTTAGAAATGGCATTTTCTTGTTTTCATTTTAAATTAATTTCAAAAAATAAAATCTAAAAATTTAATTTCATTTTATTGAAAAATGGTTTCAAAACAAATTAACGAATAAAATTATTTTTTGTCATAATATTATAAAATGTAATATACAGGCGCGTAGTCATTTGGGAGGGAAGGGAGTAAAAGAAAATCCCCCCCCCCAGCCTTAGCAAGAATTTTTGAAAAAAATAAAAGGTTTTTATGAATTGTGATTTGCAAAGTATTATATTATTCTATTTTAAATTTTATTTAAATATTTCTTCCGTGTATATATTAATATCTTATACCAAGAAAATTTAAAGTATACATTCTTATATTTTTCACTGATAGCTATAAGAAAATTTTATCAACTAAAAAACTTGAAAGTATATAATTTAATATAAAAAATATATAACCCAAACACAATAATAATTTTAGAAAATGTAATATAATTTGCACCTAGACAAGCAAATTGGTCCAACATTAACATGAACTTAATTGAGGATTACTATAAGATAACCATTTTTATTCCACTTTTGGATACATTTTTTGGCCCATATAAATGAATAATGTGTGATTCATCAAATAGCTCCATCCATATACAAATACGATTACTTGGAAATCCTTCAAAGGTTATACTAAATTAAAAAATAAATTATTTAGCTCAATTTAATTTAGAGGATATAAATGTACCTGGAGGTCAATTAATTTCAGAATTTATATCTTGGTGGGAAAGATTAATTTTATTAGGTACATGGTAGCATTGCATACTTTAAAATATATTTTGGAGTTTTTCCAAATATATTCTACTGTTTATATTATCAACAATTACAAGTACAAATCAGAAGACCATTTCTTCATTACGGAGAATAAAAACTTATCTCAAGTACATCAGCAAATCGATTGAATGGATTAGCTCTACATAAAATACATAGAGATTTAGTCCTCAACACAGAACAACCTAGAAAAACTGGCGCAATCACCCAGAAGATTAAGTTTCCGATTATGAACTATAATTTTATTAACTTTTTAAATTATATATATGATGTTTAATTCTATATTTTTTTGTGATTTAAATTACACATCGGTTTATATAGCTATTTAATATTCCTCTTAAATATTTTGTAATTGTATCTTCCAATATTTTATTATCTGTGTTCGAAATTGTCATTTTTTAAAATATGATTAGTTCTAATAAACTTTATATTAGTTCTAATAATTTTTTAATTTTCCATAAAAAAATAATTTCAATATAAAAAGGTTATCCTCCCCCCTCCCCCTTATAGGAAATTTCTGGTTACGTTTCTGGTATATAAAATCAGGCAGAAGGGTACCACAAAAATCTTGAACCCTCCCCGCATAAAAAACAAAAAATATGATGTTATCCCTATTCATAATTTGTGCCCCTATATCTGGTAAATTTGGCTTAGGCTCTTATGTCCAGGGGGTGACGGATCATATTACTTTTTTAAAATTTGTCAAACTAAGACAATCTATATTATTATTATAATAGTATTTCCCCTTAATAAACATGAATATATTTAAAATTAAATGGCTATTATTATTTTTTATTACTTTTACACATCATTTTAAATATTAATAACAAGTGTTGTTTTTTTATAAATTTATTATTATATGCGATAAAATGATTATATTTTGATTGGCAGCTGTAGCTAGACTCTTGACTGATGAAGTAAGGCTAACTAATTGATCGGGATTCTATTTCAGATTGACCAGGTTTTTTCTGAAACCAACCCCTTGAACAAGGCAATGTTTAAAGAAAGGGTCGTCAGATATCCACTAGGGTTAATATTTTATATTAAAAAAATGGTTGAAATTTTGTTTTAAAAAAATGCTATTCGGTGTCTGGAACTATCCAATAATGTTACCCTTTAACCAGAAGTTGGTTTCAGAAAAAATTTAATACAGTACAAATCAAACCCTGGTTCCCTCTGGGTACATCTGTCATTCATAATATAATTTTTTTGAATATAATAATTTTACGAAGAACAACACATTACATCGCGAATGTGCACGTTTTTTTAATAAAAATTGATGTAAAAACAGTACATACCTGCTGGACATTATATATAGACTAATATTTTTATACAATTCAAACTTGATTTATATATTTTTATTCAAAAGATAAATCCACCTTAATTGAGTCATCTAAAAAAGTATTTTACATTAAGATACGATGGTGTAAGATGGATAGAAGGAAAAGAGTGAAATACAGAAGGGGATTAAAATTAATTACTACATACGTAGGTTATGCATTTTTGAGTTATGTTTCATTGATAACATGAATTCATTTTATTGTTTATTATGTAGCCTTAATTTTGGCATGACAATGACACGCCTAGTAAGTAATTGACGACTAGTATTTAACATTGCAAAAAATTATTCACACATACATCACAGATGATATATTTGATTTAAATAAAATGGGAAAATTATTTGTCAAATTTGAGATCCTCCTTCTTATGATTATCTTTTAGCCTTTCTAATCTGAGCCACATTTGATTGCTAAATTTCTTATTTATTTAAGATGGACACTAAATAAATTAAACAAAATTGTTCTCTTCTATTATATTCACATCCTCCCTTCACAAAATGACCATTAGTCAAATTTGAGATCCTTACTCTTATGATTATCTTTTAGCCTTTCTAATCTGAACCACATTTGATTGCTAAATTTCTTATTTATTTAAGATGGACACTAAATAAATTAAACAAAATTGTTCTCTTCTATTATATTCACATCCTCCCTTCACAAAATGACCATTAGTCAAATTTGAGATCCTTACTCTTATGATTATCTTTTAGCCTTTCTAATCTGAACCACATTTGATTGCTAAATTTGATATTTATTTAAGATGGACACTAAATAAATTAAACAAAATTGTTCTCTTCTATTATATTCATATCCTCCCTCCACAATCTCCATAAAACATGATCGTTTTCTTATCTTTCTAATCCATTTAAAATTTAAGGAGACTATATAGTGTAATGTTAATTTTTTGCTCTTTACGAGAGTCGAACCACAACCCTCCCGTTTCAAAGGATAAAATTTAAAAAATTGATTATATATATATATTAATTAATAGCTGATATTTTTAAAATTTTGCCTTTATTATCATATTAAATTGGATTAATTAGCTAATATTTTTATAATTTTGCCTTTATTACCATATTGCCTAATTTTTTGTGACATAATAATTTTGAAAATTTTTTCCCAAGCCAAGATAGGTAAATCTCTAAAAACCATATCTATTTTTTATACTTTTCAAGGGCATTTATTGTTTTCATTATTTATGGGCTAGATAGATTAATGATAGGTATTGCCTTTAGGTAGTAACTATCAAATTTGTATTTTTAATTTAGATAGTTTACGAAATTTATTTATAATATATATTTAAAAAATCGTTAATTTTGCAAAGCGTCTGTGGCCTAATCAGCAAGAGCCTCGCTTACCAATCCGATGGTTATGGGTTCGAATCCCAGCAAGCAAAGATCATATTTTTTTTCTTAATCCAATTTGGTGGTTCCGTCCTTGGTGGATGATATATAGGAGGCCGGACTCGACCACGTGATTCCTTTATAATATATGTTAAATAGGGTCTTATTATATTTTAATAAATTTTGGTCGGTATTTAGCAAATTAGGTTGGTATTTAGAAAATCCCTATGCGTTGAGTAGTATCTGTCTGAAATTTTTTTTGCAGACATAACCAGGCCTCAAAAAACCAAGTCCCTTGCAATTTTCAAAAAATTTTGCCATTTATTTCTATTGTAATTTAACAACCTGCAGGTCTAATAAATATAGTATAATATATATAAAGCAAATGTTCGTTTTCAAAAATCAAGCTACACTTAATTTAAGTGTAAACTATAAAAAATTTTTTAAATTATATGGTTGATAAAGTATTTTATTTGAGTACCGAATTATCATTTATACATCAAAATTTTAAGCCAAAAATATTTAAACGCAATATACATAATAATTTAATAATATCTAACTATCGATTTTTAACCGAATAACTACTATTTTCCTACTTTCTACCTTTCTTTTTTGTCGTTATATAAGAACATAAACAATATCCTAAACCGGAAATTAAATTTTATATAATTTAAGTCTTATTGATTTACAAATTAATTTCATTTTTTGAAAATATATTTGGTAAATATGTGCGGAGCCCATTAAACTGACCGAGAATAGCTTGGGATTATTGTTATTTCAATTAGATACCAAGTTAAAAGAATGTAAAAAATAAAAAAATATTGAAAAAAAATATGGTTATCTTTTAAGCATTAATATTTCTGAACCTTTGAATTTCATAATTCGAGTTTATTTGAAAATGACCTTTTATAATGCTTGATTTTTAAAATAAAAATTAATATTAACATCATCACTTTTAAATACAAAATTTAACATTAAATTTAAATCGTAGTTATTAGTTGAATTTATTAAAACCTAAATTTTATCATTTAAAAAAAATTACTACATTTAGACTCATCATTTCTTCGAATTACCAAATTTACTGTTAACTTCACAAAAAGATTTTTGCGATTACTTGAACTGCTCAAAAAAAGGTTCAGAATATTTAATTTAGACAAAAAACGCTGATAGTCGTAATATAGCAAATATTATAAATATCAATCCATAGTTTAAAATAGATAAATAAGTTAAAGTGAAGAAGAATGGGTTGCATGCCCACTAAAATAAGCTCTAATTGTAATGATCATCTATCACCATCTCCCCGATTGGGAAATAATAATGATGGATCCTATCCGGAATACGTAGACACCACTCGCCTATCGGCTCACGAAGATTCACCCCAACCTCAACACAACGCTCTGACCTCGGGTTCTAAGAACGGCCAAAATAGGTATAAACTACACAAATATGGGTTAAATAATAGATCGAACAGTAAGAAAATGGAAAATGATCGAAGTGGTAATGAGTTGGCCAGACTCAGTCAGGGTGACAACAGACTGCCACCAAAACCAATGGATGTTTCTAAACTTATACCTAATTTTAAATCTTCTACTACGGAAGATATCGATTATAGCCTTGTCCCGGATAGCAAACGGTTAACTGAACGCCGGGGCACCAATAACGCCGAAACTCAGACAACCCTTTCCCCTCATCCACTAAAGGTATGCCATATTTTGCTTTCGTTTAATATTTAACACTATGCTTAAAAAGTTTTCATTGATTTTGGATTAGTTAAGAAAAAGGATTATGTGGAATGTTGAATGGGCTAATTGTTTTGATATAATTTTTTTATTTATTTTACATTATCTTTAAAAATTTTGTATGTAATACTATATGATATCGTTTCTTGATATTTCTTCTCGTTCAATTAATTTACTTTTAAAATTTAAAAAAAAATAATATGAGAACTTTTGATATTTCGATATTTATTCTTTACTGTTCTAATTAAGCTAACCTATATTTTATTCATGTTTTAACATTGTTTGCGATCATTCTATAATTTATAAGTTTTTCTAAAGAATTATCAATGAATGACTATATTAGAGACATGTAGTCTGACCCACCAGTCGGGCTTTAAAATCATTCTTTTAGCCTAGGCTGACTGTATAAAATTACAAACCCTAACCGGGCTATAAAGACGTAACATTTTTGCAGGCATCTGAATATTATTATTATATTAAAATTTTAGGTTATATTCATTGACTTGGAAGCATTGCATATTTAAAAAAATCCAAATAATGATTAATATTGGTAAGATTTATCTTACCCTATGTCCAAATCTGTTTTTTTTTCTAAATATGTAAAGAAGGAGATATTATAACAAGTGGTTCTCTTTTTCTGTGATATTGGAAAACCATATGATTTAAAAAATAATTTATATAGGGTTTTGAGCCTACCTACATAAAATAAAAAAATATTATATGCTAATTAAAATTATTCTTGATTAAAATATAAACTTTCATTTTGTTTGTTTCTTTCTAATCCCTTTATATATGCAGATTTTTTTCCCCAAATCATTGGAGGAAAATAATTTTCCTTCCAGTTGTATCCAGAACTTTTCAAATCTATGGTTTATAATCTTCTCCGTTAAAAACCACGGACTAGAACGTTTTGAAATATCTTAAACTGGAAGATTAAAGTTTTTTTTGTTATTCATATTTTTTAATGGATACGCGAATTTTTATTTCTTTAAGCTAATCTTGATTGAAATTAATAATTTTATTTCTCATTTTATTTTACAAATACATACACCCAAAACTAATGCCTAGAAAAACGATGATCATTGGCATTTAGGACCTATGGTTATCAAGGAGCGCCAAATGAATGTAAAAAAACAAATAAATTATTTTAATAAATTTATATCACATAATTTATATATAGTTTTTATAATATTCGGCCGACCCGGCCTGGGTATTTAAAAATTTTTTTTACCCAGCCTGGCCTGGGTCTATTAAAAAAATTTAAATACGACCTGCTAAGGCCGAGCCTTCATCTGGTATATATCTCTAGACTTATTCCACAAGATTTGCATGCCTTAAATTAACGGCATCACCGATAGCGTAAATTATAATTTAGGTGTGCTCAAAAAAACATTTTGCTTAAATAAAATATAGTCAGATTAAATTTTAAACTGTTAAAGCCCCTCCTCTGTAACGCCACTGTTCAGTATCGATTTATCTAGGATTTTAAGAGTAATTTTAAGAAAAACTTCCCCTCTTCCAGTATTATTTATTGAGTATACATTCTGACGTAAGCGTATTGGGAATTCTATCTAAATAAATATTATCATCCTATTTTTCCATGTTATGGAACTCTCCTCGTTTCGAGCACATCGGCCACCGGGCATGTTTCGTAATTACTTAAAAATTCATATCATGTTAAAACATCATTCAGATTGATTTTATTTGGTTTATGTACGATGTATGACTCACATTTTCTTGATTGTAATTTGGGTAAGGGAATCGTATGATGTACTATTTATTTCACGAGGTACGCTTCTATTTTTTTTATTTGAAATTAAATTGAGCTGAATGAAGATAAGAAGCTAAAAAAATATTTGTTCTACCTACTTTTTCCATAAGCAGTAAGCTAAATTTTTTAACTGATAAATTCCAGCCTACTCAATTTCCACACTTTATAAATATACCAGATATTATATAATTTTTTTAAAACTCATTATATTTCTCCCACTTAAAAAAATCATGAAAGAAATATATTTAAAAATCTGTCGTTCGTCGTTCCTCAAATTTCTATATTTTTTTATTTTTACATATTTCGTATTTAAAAAAAATGAAATTATGTCATAAAATATAAAAAAATTAAATGAGACAGATTAAAAGCATTAGTATTTAATTTATAAATGATAGATAATGACAACGACGTATTCAAAATGAATTATATTATAATTAACTTGAGAAATGATACCAATGAGTAAGTAGTAGGTTGACTCTAAAATCTTAGTGAGTACGGAATTTATATATATCTGAAGAATCGATGGAGTCTCTTTTTTATGTTAATTTATCATAAAAGGAATCCTGAAAATAAAAACTATAGTTTTCAGAAAAATCGAATATAACTGAAAATTCTCCCGATCTAAAATCAATTGCATTTCTCTTTAATGATTAAAATTGATTTTTTAGTTCGAGGAATCCTGGGCAAAATTTAAATGTTTTAAAATCGCAATCAGGATGAGCTTGTTGATACCTTATATATTATAAAAGTTTAAATTTTTTTTAAATATTTATAATTTACTTAAATTCCCCCCCCCCCTCCCCGCCTTTCATATACACATTTTAAATCTTTACATTCTTTTAACTATTAATCTATACAATATGATGGATTTTGACTTGTATATTACTTTACAAATTACTGGTTTAAAATATTTAAAAATTTTTGCATTTATTTTCAGCCTCAGCTTAACTTATCTATGTTCCACTCAACTTGAAATTTTTCAAAACAATCTTATATTTATAAGAATATAAAATTTGAAAGAAAGAAAAATATCGATTGGTTTTCTGGTAACCTTTCTTTTTTATTTTCCGGTTTTTGTTATTTAAAGTTATTTTAAGCCCTATTGAACGATATGTCATTCTATTGGCTGTATAATGAAATTTAAATTATCAACCTAATTATATCCAGTCAGAGATGAGTTAAATTATAGTCAATTTTTTTCTTTGAAAGGCCAATTTATCAGCCCTTGGTTGGAGCGGCAAATATCTTAGTTTTATTTTTAGTTATGATATACTGCCTTTAAAAAAATTGGGAAAAATCTGAAGGGCTGATTGAAATTAAGTTTATTTTATGTAATTTGATTTGAAATTCTTACGAAATTAATAAATTTTAACACCTGACTATTTTTGAGCTAGATAAATTATCTACAACAGTCTAATTACTCTTTTAGAATTTAGTTTTCATATATATTTTTTTCTCATTTATCTGTTTACACTTTTCGATTACTGTATAAATTTGTAAAGTTCTGAGAAAGTTATTGTTTTTTTATAATTTGATTAACAAAGCTGAGTTATTAAAAATGTAAATTAATTTTAACACCTGACTATTTTCGAGCTAGATAAATTATCTACAACAGTCTAATTACTCTTTTAGAATTTAGTTTTCATATATATTTTTTTTTCTCATTTATCTGTTTACACTTTTCGATTACTGTATAAATTTGTAAAGTTTTGAGAAAGTTATTGTTTTTTTATAATTTGATTAACAAAGCTGAGTTATTAAAAATGTAAATTTATATTAAATACGGTACTTATCATAAGATTTCTACTTCTATGAATGGGGAAAGCATCACTTGGTCGGGGCAAAATCATGCTTTAATCAGATGGACATTTGTATTTAAAAAGGAAAATCTATTAATATATAGAATTGATGATATATAGAATAGATGCCCGGAAGCTAACGGGCATATTTTTTTGGGCCGGGTAACTTGTGTAAAATATTTTACGCGGTTCGGAATCTCGATTTTTTTTTTAGCTTACAGTATTAGGCAACTTTATGTTTCATAAATAAATTGGCTGAACCCGATAACTTATACAAAGATATTTTACGAGCCTGACCGGACAACTGATATAAAATTATTTAACCGGCAGGGCCGAAAAATTTTTCAAAAATATTAATGCCGAACCGCGTCGACCTCTAAAATATAGTAAGTCATATTTTATCTTATCCTAGCTATTTAAAAAATGATTGCTACCTACCTATTTTAATCAGATACTCCTAGTATTTTCTAAGGAGGATTCGCAGAGCGATGGGTTTTGGTGGGCAGCTCAAAGGCCCGGGTTTAAATGCGATCTAGTATCCAGCTCGGAGACTGCCGTCGAGCTATATTTGAACAAGAACCACGATTTGATTATCATTGACAGGCGAAAAGACAAGAAAAATCTTGCGAGGAAGAAATCATCAACAGATAATTTCCACACGGCAATCAACTATAATAAGGATACCTTATTGGAATTAAAAAAGAGGAACGAAGATAATGAAATGGCCCATTTTGACCCCGATACTCTTTGTCGGTATGTTTTTTTACCAGCTTTTCTAAAATCCTACCTCGACATGAAATGTTAACAATACTAGACTGATAATCGATGCAGGAACCAATTGAAATCAGCTGGTCGCCATCTTTATTACTGTTGATAATATAGATCATGTGAAAACCATCATTTTTGGGTTGTAATATAGATTTCAATACCTCTACTTTTCATAAGCGATAATGTATTGGGGTGAAACTGTCCTAACTTGTTGGATAAAATTGTACCTTAATATATTGCTTATTAGAAGTTAATAAGCTTTTTTTTGAAAGTAGTCTTAAATCAATGTATAAAAAATTAGCTATATACTTTAAGTAATTTACTTGCAACAATCTTATATTTGATTTATAATATCGTCCTTAATTAGGATAGTGATCAGCTTATTTAATTAGTCCCATTTAAAATTTATGTTTCCGCTATAGCATTATGTTATAAATTCTCATGGAATTCACTACAACAACCAAAAATCCGGCCTCTGTGATTTCTCTTAAGATATGGGTTAGGATTAATTTTATATTTTAAAAAACTGACCATTTAAATGAAGGTCGATATTTTTAAAGATGTATTAACAGGAAGTTTAGCACTTTTCTTTTTTAATTATTTTTTTGATAGGTTGTAAAAAAAATATAGAATATTTAAAAAAAATTAAAGCAACGAGAATATAATATAATTTTATTTTTAAATAGTCTTATATTTAATAAAATATAGGTATTTGACGTTTAAGAAATTGAGTTTTTATAAAAAAATTAAAGCTATAAATATACAATCAGTTATAAATTATACATTGTATTTTAAATATATTATATTATACGCCTATTACTTTAAAATATGGAAATTAAAAGCATACGATATTCTTAATTAGTAAACCTCGAAATATCCAAATTTTTAAAAAAGGCATAATTTTGTAAGGTAAGATTTTTGGGCTGCATTCTTTTAGCATTATGCGCTACACTTAAAGCTAGACCTCTCTGACATGGCCTTAGCCTTATAATGTTTAAAGTAGATGGCGATTTATATATTTTTTTAAAATCTTGTAAAATTGAAGTAAAGCTGGGAATCTATGTATATATATTAATTCTTTAATTATTTTTTACTATAAAAAACAGATCTCTGAGAGCCACTAAATGCAACGATTCTACCATCATTATGGCTATCATTAGAACTAAGTAATTTTTTTAAGACATCGTACTTAACCTTTGATTCAATTTTTTGATAAAATGACCAATATTGTTTTAAAAAACTGACGCCGCCTGTAAAAAAAAAGAATAGATCTGCTCTGCATTGCAAGGCCTCTTTTTTTGTTTTAATTTTTTTTCTAATTATTATTTTTTTTTTATAGTCAAGAATGGGTATCGGAAACATTTTTAGCTCAAGACTTACTGAAAGCCGGATTTAATAAGGTTTGATCATCATTTTCATTGATACTGTAAAACTTCTATTTATATTATATACTACAATTATGACACATTTGATGTTTAGTTCTCAAAGGGATTACTTTCACCTGTATAACATATCTAGGAAAATCAAACTAGAGTTTGGAACCTTGACTCAAGGTGCTGGTTCTGAATATTTTTAAATGATTCTGATTCCGGTTCTGAGAGTTTACCAGGTTCCCCTGCACTTTAACAGTTTTGGTTTCTGGAAATTCTAAGAAAATAATTTATGCTTTAGTTTCTAAATTTTTCCCAGTTATAAAACACTTTTGTTTAGGGTTGTGTAAAAATTATGATTTTATATATACCATATTTTATAATAAAAATAATTATAGAATATATTCCGTAAAGGGAAGTAACCCCTGAGGCAAAGTTATTAATGAAACATGCATTCATTTTATTAACTAACATCTGTGTTCTTATAAAATATGTTAGATTATCAATATTTCTACTAAAAATTATTTTATATCTTATCAGTATTTGATATTTGCCCAATTATGATAATTTAATACATTCTGAGGGTATAATTTATAATCCAAAAATTAAATTTTAATAGATTATTTTAATTAAATCAATTTTTTTACGTTAACTAGAATTGATATTTATAAACCTCTTTTGAATTATTCTTAATGTCAAATAAAATACAGAATAAATGCTTATTAAAAGCAGAAATACTTAAAATATCTCCTTAAATTTTAACAATATTAAAATTTTCAAAATATTTTAAGATTTTACTCAACATAATATCATTTATAATAAAATTTAGTAATTAATTAAAACTTATATATAAATATAGTAACATAATGTATAATAAAATGCTTCTATTTAAAAACGAAAATTCATTATGTTAATGCAAACAAAAGAGAGAATTGATCTAAATGAAGATGTTTCTTTAAAAAAATCATTTATTTAAATTATGATTTATATCAATTAAATTTAATCATGCCAACCTTACTGTTGTGTAAAATAATCTTATTTTAGGGTTTTCTACCTTTTGAATATTCAAAAAATAAATGCTATGGCCATCTTCCTTTCATGATCACATAAATTATTTATTCTTTTATTCATTCATTATGAAAGATTCGAAGTGTCTATTTTTCTTTGAATATACAAAACATTTTATTTTTCAAATTATCCTACCTATTTTGCTTTCTTTAACCGATTTACATCACTTTCTGTAAAGACTTTTTATTTTCCCAATGACATATTTAAGAATGCATAATTTAATTCAAAATCGATCATTTCACCATTGGCGATTTTCAGGACTGGATATTCAAGAAAAGATATTAAAGGGACAATTTTGTTTGTCTACCGGAAAAATTCAAGATTGATCTGAAAAATCATATATTTTAATTATTTACAAGTGTGAAGTCTTATCCTTGACTTAGAAAGAAACATTGTACCGTTCAGACCATTATATTTTGATAAAATTTGTTATGAACCAACAAAAAAATTTAGTATTTCGTTGAAAACACCGATGTTAATGCGTGCCAAAACGAACTCATGATGATCGAAAATGAATCCTTCTTGCTGAGGTGTAAATTAAATTCCACCAAATCCTTATTTTCAGCTCTCGATCACATAAACGATGCTATCGATATATGCACCATGGATAAAGAAATTCAAGTTACATATATAATTTATTTTTAAGTTAGAGATATAATGAAATCACTGATTATTTATATTTTAAAATGGTTTAGGAGAAGTCGGTTTTTAGATTTTTTTAACAAAAGTGAATATTTGTTTATTGATAATTCCTTCTTCAAAAAATTTGAAATGTATCACATTTTCATCCATTATTATATGATTATACTTAACCTACACCATCTATTAAATATATTAAATCAAAAACAACGTTATATGATGTCAGCATTCGGTTAATGATTATTTTTTTTAGGATAAATAAAATTTATTAATAGTAGTCATTTTAATAAATCTGTTAAATCATTTTTATTCTTATTTCCCGGATTTGATCTTTTATGTACTCATCTTTATTTTGTTATCTTATATGTAATACTGAAAACCTTACCTATTTGCCATAAATTTCTTTGAGACCTTTCAAAAAGTTGGCATAATACACCTTGTAAAGGTTCAAATTTAAAAGCAAAGATTAGATAAAGATCGCTTTAAAAAAATTTTTTGCGTAACTTATTAATTTTGTTAATTTATATAGTATGTTAACAAAGCTTTTGAGAAGATGAGCGAATATTCTTCGGATGAACTGGTGAATTGCAGCACCAAAATATATTTACCACCCGGAAAACTGGATTCCGTCGAGATGGCTAACAAATTTTTGATTAAGGGAAAAGTATATGAAAACCTATTTATTATATTTATAGATATATAAGTTAGAGATCTGAGGCCCGGCCCGAAATTTAAATTTTTTTTATTGTCATAGCCCGAACTAAAATTATTTTCAAAAATAGGATCACCTAAAAGCAAAGTAAATTTGGACTTCAGGGAGGAGAGGGAGGGCCGGGCCTTGCAGATCTCCAATATAAGTTACTCCTAAAAAAGGTCAGAAATAGAATCAGTTTTGCTATTAATTTTCATGTTAAATTAATCGACCTAAATGGTCCCTATATATAGGTGCTATTTTAATTTTATAGAGGTGATCGTCATATTCTAGGTTTGCTTTATTATATTAAAAAATCGATAATTTGGTAAAATAACAGGACAGGCCACTAATATTATTTTAATCATAAAATTTGCCAAAGTTAGCCATTTCATATCCAGTCGTATTCCATAAAGGGTTTGCAAAAGTCATGATTTTTTTAAATAAAACATTTAAAAAAATTAATTTAGTTGATTAATTCCGATTTATATAATTTTTTAAAATATAAGAATAAAATAAAAATATATAGATGAAAATAACTCTAAAACAAAGTTATTGACATTCGTTTTATTACATTAAGCACCCAGTATCGGTTTGGCATCTGAATTAATCTTAGTATCAATAAAATATTGAATCAATATTAATTAGAGGACAAAATAGTACTAGATATATTTATATCTCCCTATATTTTAACAATATTAATAATTTTTATTAAGAATTTATTATGCCAAAAAAAGATATTCTGAATTAACACAACATAAAATTATCTATAAAAATAAAATTTGGCGATTAATAAATAAAATGTCTTAAGAAGGAAAGAAATAATCTTTATCTTTTAAACAAAAAAATAAGAAAATTGATTTAAATCATGATTTTTATTCAAACAATTATTTTATTTAAATCGTGATTATTATATACTAGGCCTATGAAATGATAATCACATGTCGCTTCTTTTTACCAATTTATTTTAAATGTACAACCTGTTTATTATAATGTATTTCAAAAGACCTTTATAAGTAGATTGAACCAAAATCAAAACCCTTAAAAGTAGGAAGACCTTATAAACGGGGTTTAAAAATATTTCGGGATTGAATTGTTTTTAAAAATAAGGTAATTTATATACATTTTTATATTAAAAGAAAGAAATAAAACTGCTTTTAATCCTTTTATACAACATTTTTCCCGCGAACAAAAAAAATTTTTCTCCCTAAAACTTAGTTAAACACGACGCAAATAACACATTTTTCAACGTTTTTTATTAAAGAAGGTGTGTGTATATATAATATATATAGATTTATGAAATGTTGTCATTTGTCATTATTGGGATATTCATATGTAAAAAAATATACAATTTATTTTGAATGATAAGAAATAAAATAATTGCGATTTTTATTTAAACATAAAGATATTTTACATTTTATACTTCAAATCTGGAATAACCATTTGCGCAGTTTTTGCATCTTTGCCTACTAGCCGCCGATGGTCAATGCCCTGTTTTATCAAATCTAATATTTGTGATTGGATGAAAACTATTCAATTTTCTTCTTTTATTAAATCTTCTAAGTAGGCCTGCCTTATTTTTATCAGTTTACTTTCCAACCATCATCAATCCTTTAGCTATCTGAGCTTTAAATACTAAAAGTGATGTATGCTTACTATTTTCTTGTTTCATGAGGCGTCTATAGAGCAACCATGAATTCCCTACACAGGAATCTAATAAATGAAAATTTTATGTCAGTTCTGTTGAGTTCAATCAACATATCATGGAGATCCACCCCACCCATATCACCATTATAGTCTTGAATTATGGCTGGAATTTTGACATTGGGAAAAGATTTATAAGATGCCGACCATCTTCTTGTTCGTGATTTGGAATTTATACCCATAAATGATGATATGGTGATAACCGGTTTTTTATCAAACCATTCCCAAATTATATTATTATTAGGATCCACCGAATAATCAAGGGATCCTCTTCCTTTTTTCTAGAATTTTGTCATCAACCAGATAGCATCCTGATAATCGATTCTAAACTGCTAAATTATACGACGAAAAAAAGTTATCCATATAAATTTTATGATTTTATATGGGGGAACAGTTTCTAATAATCAAATAACGATATCTCCGCTAATTCCCATCAAAGTTTTTTATATTTATGAATTTTCCTAAATATATCTCGAAATCAATGTATTTCAGATGATCCACAAAGCGAAAATGTTAATCATGCGGTTTTGAGCGAATACATTGCTTAAATTCACATCGCCCTTTCGTCGAACTAATAAATGGTTTTAGCTTGAAAAGTTTATCGTAATTAGGCTGACTCCTAAGGATTATATTATTATTTTTCTCAATTCCAAGAATCTATTTCTTGTCATGCATTGAGAAACTTGAGGAATCACTGTCTCTAGATCCCAATATTGCCTTATTGATGGCAATTTAACAATGCCTTTGTAAAGGTGACCAATTAATTTTTCAATTTCATTAGTATTTATATATTTGTTGATTTTTCAGACAATTGAAATGGATATATATTAATTTGCTTTGCTAAATTGTTAATAAAATCATCTTCTATAAATTTTTTAAAATATTCGAAAGGCGAAATTTCTTTATCGGGGAGAGGGAAAAATTCTTGTTTAAATTCAGTATTATATTTATATAAATCCTTATTTCGCCAAAGGGTTTTCTTATTATTTGGGATACTATCTATCATAATCTTCAAGTTCTAACCCAATATCTGATAAAATATCATATTTAGATAAACTATTATGACATTTTCAAAATCCTCATCTTTCTCAATATCTACATCAAATATATCTCCCTCTGGTATAATATATGTTAAAGTCATCTAAAAAATATGCATAGAAAAAAAATTTCCACTTTCTTAACTTTTTGCAAATATTATGGCTTGCTGGGAAATAATCTATATTTAATTCTTTACATATTTTCAATATTTAATAAAAAAAAATTATGAAAAAAATTGCTTTAGAAAATCCCAATGTTACTACATTTCCTTTAAAAAATCATATAAATAAGAGTTATTATTTTTTTTTACTAAACATGAAATACTACTGATAATATAATATACCTTTGATTCATAAATATTTATATGGATTGTATCGATTTATATGTGTAAAAATTTTTTACGCGTAAAATACCTAATTCTAAACTTGTATTTTACGTGATACGTGATAGAGCGCATACGCCTTCTCATCTTTGTAGATACAATAGAGCTACGTTAGGTTTTTCTCATTTCCATCTAATTGGATTTATATTAAATTTAGGGAGAAAAGATGAGAAGCCCTTAACACGTTTGTGGGCAAGCCGTACGTACTTGTACCCACAATAGTCCGAGAACTATTGTTTAAACATCTGTGGGCTGGTTCAGATAGGAAGGATCAGAAAGACAGCCCCCACCCATACCTACAACCCTATTGTATTTGAAGTGAAAGGGACAGGGGAAATGCTTTCTAGAAATTAACATTTAAAGAGTCTAAGTACAAAAATAAGATAAATAAATAAGAAAATTGATTTTGATATAATAAAATAATAATTTTGACAGGTTAATGATACGAAGTAATAGGTTTTATAAATTAATGTGTCTAAGTAACAACCATTAGCTTTTTAAATATAAAAATAAATTGATTAAAATTTTGATGACAAATGGTCTCGCTGAGCACGAAAGGGTGGGATTCTATAATTCATAACACTAGAAACCAAAAAATCGATATAAAATTTATAAATTTTTGTCATTTTTTTTTGTTGCTCTGCCATAAAGGTTTGGGAAGGAAATTCCATGATTGAAACAAAGAGTGGTGAAAGCGTCTGGCATCATTGCACAAGCGTGCCGATTATGGGCAATAAAGGGTTTTAATTGTTATTACTATATCTTTTTATAAACCTACTCTATATGTTAAAATCTTTTTACATTGAGTAAATTTGAAAAGTATCTATATTATACCAACTCTTAAAAGCCTCTAATCCAATAAAGGTATAATCTATTGTATATTTTCAAAAAGAGTGGCCCATTATTGTTTAACATGTTTTCATTTTTATATAGAATAGAATAATCAAAAATATTCTTTTAGCTAATTAATTAACTAATCATAATTTGGATTTTTTTTTAAAAACTTAAAAAAAATAATAACACTAGATATTTATTATTTGGCCTATTTTGTAGCAAGCATTTAACATTATTTAGTTAAAACTTTCATATATTTTTTTTTGAAATTTAAAATTTTTTGATTTTGTTTCCATCCCTAACCTACTCACTCAGACCTATTTCTTCATTTTTATTCACTCTGATCTCACACTCTAATATCGTTATAACCTTTTATAAAAGCCTAGCTGATAGCCCCATTAATTTAAAACGTAGCTTCAGCTACATTTTCGAACATTTGTACTAGTTTAAATTATTTTCTTTTATTGTGAGGTGAAAGATAACTTTAATATCTTAAAATATAATATAATACAATTTAAAAAAAAATAAAACAAGATAATATTTTTTAATAAGAACCTTATAACCTATAAATATAATTTTATATCTAATATATTAATCCTAAGTAAGTAAAATATATATCGTTTCCTGATTACACTTTTGGTTAGAATTCAGTTAAGGGCCTAAATCTTATTTACTTTCCGAAAATTTTAAATATGTTATGTAATTAAATAAGCTCTAACTCATTTAGGCTCTATGTTTTAGTTATTATAGGGTCCTATTTGTTTAACGAATCATAATAATTATTTTTATCACATGATAATCAAAAATATTTTTAAAATTAAAAATTGTCCGTTTTTTTAAATTTAAAATTCAAACTACAATAATGAAGACTAGAAAAAAAGATAAAGCTTGTGTGTTTTACCAGTTATAGTCCCTAAGATAATGAAAACTAAATTCTTATAAGTAAAGAAAGATAAAAAAATGACCTTTACCATCTTTTTACAAATTAACCATTTTTAAAAATAATATCAAATTTAGTGATATTAGGACATAGAGCTTGTTAAGGTTTTGCATAACCACCAGAGCTGTGAAAAGATACTTATTAAATAGATCTACTAGATACAGACATATCGCCTAAAAACTATTTATATACAGATCCATTTTTACAGACGTATCTAGATAAAGATACATTTTTACTCTAGATAAATAAATTTTTATTATACTATGTAAGTAGTGCATAATGCTTAATTTAAGATTCTAATGTTAAAATTAAAATTTCGAAGTCTAAAAATTTATTGAGCTGATATTACATCTATATAAAAATATATAATTAAAATAATGACTGTTAAATTTTAATGATTTATATATAATTAAATAATTATAAATAATTGTTAGATTTTAATAATTCACATACAAAATATATAATTAAATAATCATAAATAATTATTAGATTTAAATAACAAAATATTTTCATAATTATTATTATTTTGGACTCTAAACTCTTTCTGCCGAGGTTCTTGAAGGTAGAATAGTCATATTTAATGAATAACAACTTTATATTAATATAATCATTAACCCTGTATAATTAAATAATCATAAATAATTATTAGATTTAAATAACAAAATATTTTCATAATTATTATTATTTTGGACTCTAAACTCTTTCTGCCGAGGTTCTTGAAGGTAGAATAGTCATATTTAATGAATAACAACTTTATATTAATATAATCATTAACCCTGTATTGCATGTACTATGTTAGAATAATTTTTTTTGGAAAACTAGATTTTTTATTTCTCTCAATACTATTGATAATCTCATGGCTCACTTTTTTAAAAAAAATTCTAAATTTCTTAGAAGATAACGGTATGTGGATCAAAATACACATTATGCAATTAAGAATACAAATTTCAATTTTTTCCACAATAATTTTTATTGCACTCTAAATTATAAATATATATTAGTTTATTTAAATACAACAAATATTAAATGTTTAAACATTTTAATTTTCATGAAAATCTATAAAACAATTATTTTTGGGCGTAAAACATCACCGCATTTTTTGCAAGATACTGTTGTTTCCCGACACTCATTTTCTTAAAGATATAATATTTTTGTATCTAGAACAAGAGAGTGGATATCAATATAATCAATTAATCTTTAGATACTGTATATACTTTAACATCTCTGGTAACCACAACAATTTAAATGTTCATATTATTTTTATGCCTTATGAGGTTGTCTTATTATTATTTTGATATTTTATACCATTAATTAATGATTTTATTTTAATTTCGATTATCTGAATATAATTTAAATTTAAAACAATTATATATTTAGATGTAATATAAAAGGAATTATTTTTATAGAAATAATTTAAAATATTCTTGATTTTAATGAAAAAGAATTTAGTTAAGTACTCTTCCCTTTTACATGAAGTGCGTGCCAAATTTTTAAAGCTATGTTCACGCATCTATTACATTAGTTACATAACAATAAAACACCGAGCATCGAATATTTTTAAAATCCACTTGCATAAAACGCGCAATTCCTATTTTTGCCATGGTTGGCCTTGATTATTTTGTGGTGTTTCCAATGTATAAGATGATTCGGCTTGTTAAGTACCCTTGAGATAATAAAGTATTATTCGTATTCCATTCTTTGAACGAATTGATATTTATAATTATACCAATCGAAATGGAAATAGTAAATTATTTACGAGTAATTCATCATTCGATTCGTATTCGTTTTTGAATAGGCCTTGCCTTGAGATTATGTCACGTCGTTTATCATATTTTATATGTATTCTTTAATGATATTGTAATTTTTTTTTATGGAATTAACTTTATTATAAATAATAATCTTTCAAGAAAATTATATTATGTGTCTTTTCGATGTTGTGAGAATATATATATTAAAATAGGTTTCTATTTGCTATTGACTTTTTACACGATATCAGCTAAATTTTCTAATATTTGGAAACGCAAAACAATCATATCCTGCGTTAGCCAAGTTAGCTAGGAGATATTTCGTATCACTACCATCCGCTGCAAAAATATTTAAGTATCGTATCGGCCAAATCTGGAATCATATAGCCTTATTTTTATGCAAAAAATTTGATTTTCGGGTTTGCCACTGTAGCTTTGAAATTTGGCACACATTCCCTACAAAAAGGCATATTATAAGACGTATTTACAATCATGTTTAATAAATGTTATTTGAGAACAGAAAAAAAATTAAAGAATATTATTACAAATATAAATGTTCATGAGTTGAAACTATGGTCTAAAGGTAGCCATTTGATGATTATTCATTTATGATAATCTTTTAGAAGAAGAATATTCAATTTGACTAAGAGGGTTTAAGAATAATCATGGATTGAAAATATCATTTTCCCAAGATCTTTATTTTGAATATATGCACGTGAAATGAGTGCATTAACTTCTTACACTAATATAATATATTGATTATTTATATATATATTTTTTAAAGGGAATTGGTGCAAATTGTTAATGCTAGAACTCTACTCAACGAAGAGGGACTGAGAACTCATGCTATCAGCTCGCCTAACATAAAAAATCGTAAGTAACTTTAAATCTAATATATAATAATATAATTCGGTTATAACGTTTCTCGAGGGCAACCATAAATTTAACATGCTAAAAAATGGGAGACATTAAAATTTAGAAATATTTGTAAATTATTACTGTTTCCAAAGCGAGAAAATCTTATAAACGGGTTTTCCACAATACTTAGTTTTAATGTTATATCGGAGGTGTAAATTGTCTTAACTTAAGTATTTCATTTTTTAAAATATCACATAAAGGAAATTTTATATTATAGGGCTTAGTTGAAACGGCCCTTGGAATTTTATATCAGGCTTTTCCGTTCGGTCTGTAATTATTTTTAGCCGGCCTGTAAAATATATTTTATACAAGTTGCCCAGCCCGTAATAGTTTTTTATGAAGGAAAACCATAAATTTGCCTAATTATCAGCTTTAAGAACATTTTCAAAACTCGGCCTGGCTCGCCTTGTAAAATTATTTTGAACAATTTGTCCGATGGGCCCAAATTTTTTTTTACCCGGCCTGTGGGCTCAAGGCCTTTCGCCGACCTCTACTATGTATATCTAAATTTTCAATTTTTTTTTACGTTTTAGCTGATAGCCTTTTCTATCCTAGAAGAGGAAGCTTGATCTCTTTACCAAAAAATATTGAATTAATATCTACCACTTTGCGTAATCACTGTATGAATATCAATATTACTATATATTTATTATTAAATTTCTTAAAATTTAACACTTTAATTTTCCTTTTAACTTTCCTTGGTTTCTGAGTATGTTTGAAATTTTATTATAACATTTTTATTATTTTATTTTGTTAATGTAAACATAATTTAAGCCGAACCTATCAACATTAGAAGGCCATCTTTAGCCCGAATTCATTCTATGACAATTGAAGCGCCTATTACAAGGGTATCATTTTTACGGCAATATATTTTTTTATGAACAATACAAGATGGGAAATTTTAGTACTATTTAAAGTAATCGACTATATTATTTTTATGAAGAAACTGTAAACGATTTGAAAGATGTAACTAGTTATACCTTTGGAATATAACGACAAAATAAATAGTTACTTTTCAAATTATTTTTATTATCTCAATAAATATATTTAAATATTTACATTAATAATGAAACTTTAGAAAATTTTATAAAATCGATTAATATTATAATGTCCCGATTACATCACGCGCTCCAGTACAACCTTTATTAGGATGGGGGAGCTTATTTTTGGAGAAAAGCTAGCACACGTTAGATACCAATTTTGAATTTAATTTTAATGTTAAGGTTAAATAAAAGTTTATTAAGATCATATTTATATGAAAAATAAATGCTATTATTTTTATTTAAATTATATTTTCATTTAAATCACTTTAATTAAAAATTTTAAATTGCAAAATTATTTTGTATAATAAAAAAAATCTATATTAAAAATGATGAGATTTATAAAATAACTTGCAATGTAGTGTTGTTAAGTCGGCCTACCCGGGTAAACCTGGAAATCGCCATAAAACGGAGAAGAAGAAGAAGAAGTGTTGTTAAGCCACTCGATTTGAGGTGATTTTTAAAAACGGCCAACTCATGTTTTATCCAGAAATATATTAGTCTGAAGATTTTTGTCATAGGCACAAATGTTTGAACATTGGTAATGAAATCTTGAGGCTTAGGCGATATTTTTATGGCTAAAATATTAAGTTAGCCATTTAAAAATCGGCTAAAATCGAACCGTTTAGCAACAACCGGTTATTTTTCAAAAGTAACTTTAACACCCACTAGAAAATTTATATTATTTTAAGTATTTATAAAATGATTTAATTATATTGACAAAGGTCAATCCTTCTAAATAAACTTCGTAATCTCCTTACCTTGCTTTACATTTTCTTAGCTGAGAATTATATTTTATTTTTTTTAATAAAATGAGTTTTTTTAATGTTCAATTCTAAATTGTTCTATGTGAATGTGAACTATAAAAATGTGAAAAAATAATACCAATTTTTTATTTGGAAAGAAAGAAATTATTTTCTACCACGAAAAAAAATTAAAAAACATAAGGATACGATCCAATTAACTTTCAAAGAATTCTCTTTTTAAACTCTAACTTTTTTTAAAAAAACCCTTTAATCTAACATTATACCTCTAATAACCCCCCCCCCCCCCCCCCATCCTAAAAAAATATAATTCATTTTTTTGTTATAAACTAAAAGGTTATTAACATCCTAACAACCGCTCAACAGAGCAGTCCACTTACAGTTTCTCAGGCCCTTGACCGAGTCCTGGATATTTTACATTCTTCGGAGCTTTATTCGTTAGGCCGGGAACAGCTATTTTCCCATCATCTGTCCTCAAACAGCAATATACAAAACAGTTTGCTTAAAACCGAACAAAGTTTGCCCGACAACGGTAAAAACGAGAAATTCGCTAGGAGAGATTATAATACCAGTGATGTATCAAGGGAAGAGGACGAGAAGTTAGCGGTAGACCTTGTAGGCAACTTGGCTGGGATCAATTTGGTTTTTCCACATGAATATTTTCTCCCCATAGTTAAGATTTAGATTTTATTGGGAAAGTTTTTCCTATTAGACGCTACCCGGGTATTTAAAAAATTTTTTTTAGGACAATCCCGGGTATCTTTATAAAAATTAAAATACGACCCGGCCCGTGTACAAGGGCAGGGCTTCGGGCCGGGTCTGCAGGTCTCTGATTTAGATAATAATGCAGTGGAACCTCATGAGTTGAGCACTAAAACTTGATTATTTTTGGTCAACATAAAGAGTTGATTAATTTATAGTAGGGCTGTGCCGATCAACATATTTTACACCGATCCGGTATTGGTTCAAAACCTATCCGATACCGATTCAATATTTATACTGATTTTTCACCACCCCATGAACCAAACGTAATTAAGAAATCAATATTTTTTATGCAAAAAATGAATTATGCATTTAATATAATTTTTTATTTCTACAATTAAGACTATAATTAAAAAAAATATTACAATAGATAAAAAAATATATTAATAATGTAAAATAAATATACATAACATAAAATAAAATAACAAAAATAAAGAAAAGTAAAAAGATCGGATTGGTTTTTACAGGTATCGGACCTATCCGATATTTTTTGAAAACGCTAAATATCGGTGCATATTCGATCCGATATTTAATATCGGCACAGCCCTAATTTATAGAGAATTTTGATAAACATTTTTAATAAGATTTTGGGAGGGAGGACCAATCTAAAGCCATTCAATCCAAGATAAGGAGGCAGTCCCTCTTAAGAGCTTATCCCTTTGAAGGTTTATCAGTCTATGATATTATGTTATTTATTTCAAGGAGCCCAGACTGTCAAAGACCGGTATGATGAGAAAATATTCTGCCATACGTAAAAAATAAATACATACCACAAATTAATATTTATGATTGCAAACTTTTGATGACATTTACGCATTTATTTATGAGAAATACGTTTTTTAAATAAGAAATAGACAAAAAAATAACGTATGAATCAATGAATTTAGATCCTGAATAAAAGGAAAGTCAGATTTATTTGAGAAATCGACTTAGACTCTTCTTCGGATAGAATTTCAGATAACCATTAATAATTTTCCCGCAGGCTCTTATGGTATATACGGCGGCAATAAATAATATCCCTTCCTTCTGAATTTACTATTAGTAATTGCTCAAAAATCATTTCATACTAGCCTTGTAATAATAGTAATTTGTAGACTCTTTGCCCCAATTTAAATTTTAAACCTTATTTTCTAGTTTAATTTAAAAAAATATATAAATGTATCACCGCTAATTAAATGAGTTTAGATTTGTAAAAAAACAACAATAATGATAGGTTATTACAAAACTTCTGATAAAAAAAATTCTCTCTCGGTAATAGTCTTATATTACTGCTAAATATTCAGAATTCAATTAATTTTTTTAGGGCGTAATCTTGCCATGGGCATCATTCTTCCTGTGTGATTCGAAACTGGGTAATATGGCCCATTTTCATTATGTTTAATTACTATAATAATTAAAAGGTTTAAATGATTCATTGATAAATTTTTGGGGAAAAATGTTATTTGTTACTTTTTTTGTAGAGTAACTCGTAACGCGTTATTCTTTCGAGTAAATTTAATAATGTGCAATATATTTATTTTAAATTTTATGGAATAATCAATTTGATTAATTTCAGCTTAGTTTTCAGATCAAATATCTAAAGTAATGCTCCTTCCTTTGTAATTTTAATATTTACTACCTCATTTTTTTAAGAAATTTAACCCAGGATCGAGGTTTATTAAATTAACAAAGAATCTTATATTCAAATTGTAAAATTTAAAATGAATGTAATTTTTTGTAAAGTAACCTTAATATTTCTAACTAACACTAAAAATTTCTTGTAAGTGTTGAAACCTTTTTTAAAACTATACTTATTTTAAAAAAACTATATTTAATAATTAAATAAGAAATTGCAAAAGGTAAAAACTTTATTTAAACTAAAAAAAATATATTCACCCTTATCATAGAAATAGAACTATTATACCTTTCTAAAATCACTTGACAAAAATAATTTAATGTCGCGCAGTATATAAAATAAATAAGATAATATCTAAAATTAGAATCGCGCCACTTTTATATTATAATAAATATTTTAAAAATACAATGCCACTACACTACAAATAATACGAACTTAATATGCTGCAACAGTAACTAAAAAAGTAATTTTTACATACTTTTTAGCACATGTAAATGATAATACCTAGTTACTCTGTTGCATTTCTACGACACCAAACTAATAGATCAGCTTGGCCCGTGAAGATTTTTGATTTGAAAAGTTTTTCGGTCCTTATGGTCTATAAAATATTTTTATAGAGGTTACGGGTTCGGCCCATAATAATCTTTTTGAAAGAAAAAGGCATAAACTGGTTTAATTCTAAGAAAAATATACGAAAATCCGGCTTGGCTCAAAAATATTTTGGACAAGTTGTCCGGCTCGAAAAATATTTTGCCCAGCCCGAAAATTTTTTGGGTCAGGCTTCCTCCCGTGCCATGCAAATCTCAATATAAAGTAAATTAATTTAAAATGATTGAATGACAAAATTGATTATAAAATTTTTTACAATATAAATTTTTTTTTCTCTAGCGAATAACAATTACGAACTTCGAGAAGTTCACCCTTGGCTTGAAATACCCGATGATATTCAGAATTTGATCATGAAAGATAATCTTTGGGATTTTCCTATATTTCAATTGGAAAGATTGTCCCACAAAAAGTTAAATATTTAATTGATAATCTTCTTTAAAAGAACATTTTAAGGACCACCGTTGAGTTTCATAATTATTTATATTTCGAAAAACTAATTAAATATTTTTCATATGCTAGTTTTTTTTCTTTTTTTACTTGTAAAAATTTAAAACCAAGATTAAAGTCACATTTCAAAGGTCTATGAATTATTTTTCAGAATATTGTTGTCTAAAATTTTCAATGTTTTTTATGATTGACTTCTGCCTTCTTATCAGGTTTTATTTATACATTACAAAGTATTACCCTAGAAAATTTAAAAATAAAAGCAGGATTTTTCGTTTTAACTTAGGATGAGGATATTCCAATTAATACTTAATTAAAAAATAATATATAACCACGAATACAAATTGGAAATACATATAGACCGCTTTACTACCTGGCCATCAGAATTTTTGAAAGGTTTGGTCTAGATTCTTACCTTAAATGTTCTAACGAAGTTCTTCATGCCTGGCTACAGATGATAGAAAGTTATTACAAACAATCCAACTCATATCATAATTCAACCCACGCCGCTGATGTATTGCAAGGAACGGCTTATTTCTTACAAAATCCACTCATCAAAGTCACAATTTTTACTTATTAATCTTACATGAAATGATAAAATGAAAATGTATGAATAGCTTTTGAGATGAAAAGAAAGAGGAGTTAGATAGATTGCTTTTCTTTGAATTAGAATAACTAAATTAGAATAACTACTAACAATATTTATTAATGCCCAATTTTATAATGCATGCATATTTCATGTCTTTATTAATCAATAAAGTTATATAATAAAAAAAATTTGAAGCGCTTTATATGTTTTTTTTATCCGAATTTCCCTATTAAATTTATATCTCTACATAACGATTCAGTTCTAGCCATAATTTATCTTACCCACACAGCAGATGCCTTTTTGCCAAATCCATTGAATTCATCTAGAAATTGGGCTATTTTTAAAAATATTGAGGTGAAAATAAAATGAAAGAATGAGGTTTAAAGTAAGAATGCCTATGGAACAGAGACATGCTTATAAATTAAGAATCGTGAAAATACTTGTATTGAATTCTTACCGGGAAAAATATCTTTGCCACTTCCCTCTACCAATATTTAATATTATTTAAAATTTTAATTTTGATGGAGTAAAAGGAATTGGCGGATGGGCAAAAAATAGAAAATATAGCATAACGACTATCGAAATGACTGCGCAAACGATTGAATATTTTTTCCCTTAATATCATCAATTTTATGCCTTATATTATATTTTAAAGGAAGTTTTAGAGGAACACGAAGTTATGGGCGCCCTAATAGCAGCTGTGATTCACGACTTGGATCATCCTGGTAGAAATTCTGCTTTCCTATGCAATTCACACAGTGAACTCTCTATCCTTTACAATGACATGTAAAATAAAATTTTCTCATTTTTATATTAATGAAAACCACTCAAGGATGTTTCTTTTTTGACCTCATTTTTAATTGTTTTCTCCTTTATGAATCTATTCCTCCCAAAATGCTAAATGTTCTATTATTGACTTATTGACTCTTGTTTGTTAATATAAATTTCACACCAACCAAAACATATATACCCTTATGGTCATCTTATGGAGGTTTCATTGAACCAAAATTTGTTGATTTTTGAGGTTTCCCTTGAATTAGAGATGCAAAATCAAATTTTATTATATAATGATATCAAAAATAATAGGTCCGTTTTAGAAAGCCATCACGTGGCTTTAGCCTTTAAGCTCACCCTGGCAAATGACCAGTGCAATATCTTCAAAAATCTCAATAAGTAAATTTTTTAAAGATTTTCTACTTTGTTTTTTCTTGCCTATACCATTGGCCGATACACATTATTATGCAATTTTTTCCTGCAAAATATATTTATAAATAAAAATTGCAATCTTAGCCATTTTTATTTTGTATTTACTAATAAAAATTTCCTTTCATGCTTCCCTTTTTTTCAAATTTACATTTAATTTTTCATTTGACTTTCTAAAGAAAATGAACCTTCCAATAATAAAAAGTGAAAAAGAAATCTCACCTTAATATTCTTTAATTTAATCATTAACAGACCACGATATTTAAACAAATATTCAGCGAAGGACATTTAAAATTCAAGAAAAAAAAAGCTCTCTCTTGATTATATTAAGTTATTGTGTGTATATTTTTTGGTGATTTTTATTATATAACCATCGGTTGTATAGGCTCGATACCCCGGGAATATAGGGGTAATTCGGCAAAATAAAATGGCATCGGTGCATATCTGTTTTTGTCTTCGATATCTATAATAACCCTGCATTTATAGTTAGCACAAATTCGCGGTGTAGTATGCTAAAATACAGAATATTTTATATACGTTGCTGCGAATTCGCACTAACTATGAATGTAGGGTAATTTTTACTCATAATTAGTTTTGTTAAACCGCTCATTTTGAGACGATTTTTTAAAACGGCTAACTCAATATTTTAGCCAGAAAAATATTGCCTAAGCCTCGAGATTTCGATATTGTTCTTCTATGAGCAAAATCTTCAGGTTTGCTTGATATTTTTCTGGAAGAAATATTGAATTAGCCGTTAGCCGTTTTTAAAAATCGGCTCAAAACGAGCCGTTAATAACACTACTCTTGATATATATTACGAATTCCATGCCAAATTACCTAAACTTACCAGGCCTTCACATTTTTTACCAAACATTTTGAGGTTACTAAGAAGTTGAATATACAAATAAGTTGTAAAATTATAATGTTGACTCAATTATATGTCAGCCCCTGTTTAAAATGAAGAGCTAAAATTTATTATTTAGTTATACTAAATACTAGAGATAGGCGCTTAATATGAAAGAAAAAATTATACATTCGAAATTTTTTAACGAAATTTCTCTTTTGCTTGGTTCGTAAATCTCTTGTATAAAATACTACTCTTAGGAAAACTTCGAAAAGGGGTTGGGAATCGAGTTTTTAGGGGATTTGGTATGCAAATCATCATATATAATATGTTAAATAAATGTTGTTCGTGTACGAAACAAATAATCAAATCATCAAAAATTTGGTAAAAATATTTTGAGATGAAATTAAAAAAAATTTTTAGAGTGGTTATTTCGCCAAATAATAGTGGTGTGTTGTTAAGTAGTGACCCGATTTAGCCGATTAAATTATGGTCAAAATAACATTATGCAAGCCTCGAGATTTTATTAATAGATGCCCAAACATTTTTGCCAATGAGCGAAATCTCCAAGTTTGCCATTTTTTGGATACTTTAAAATTATTAAATATTATAATTATACAAACCAATAATTGAGAAAGAAGACTGGCCATCAATATAAAATATTAAATTGTATTATTCTATTATATATTTTCCTAAATATTTATATATAATCAGTGACGAATTTAAGGCTATAAGGACCGTTATAATAGACATGGTCTTAGCCACGGAAATGGCCAAGCATTTCGAGATCCTCTCCAAATTCCTAACTTTCCTCGACAAATGTCACTGTCTCACCAAGCTTAAGAAAAAAGAAAACAATCATTTGAGTAAAAAAAATTTATCCTTCAGTCAACTCTCTGCATCTGAGACTAGGAGAAGTTCTGTCGATAATAACGTCGATCCGGCTACTTTGCTCCTTCAACGTATATAGCGCTTAACTTTTTAGTCTTTCGACACAGTTATTTTATGCACTAGGAATTTTGATCGGTCACGGTTTATCAAAGTTGTAAATGATTTTTACATTTAAAGATAAATTATTTCTAAATGAGCAATATTTGTTTTAGAAGTTTTATTTTCGGTCAATGATTTAAATAATTATTATTTTGCATCATATATTATAGATCTAATTTTTTAAATGCCAATAAAACGAAATTCTATAACATAGCTAGGGCGCGCAAAGGCATATTCAGCAACACGCCTTAATTTAATTGTAGCGCACTCCTTAAAGTTTTTGTGAATCTATATCGAATCTCTACTTTTAACACGGTCTGATTGATAAGAGAAAACACTTTTTATCAATCTGTCTAACTCAACATTTTTTCTTATCTCGATGTATAATATATAGGAGAAGGCAATATCAAAGCTTTCAATATGGATACAGCCGACCTATCGAAAAGCAAACAGGAAAATTTAGCCAACGACCAAAATCTCAAAATTTTTCCATCCTTTCTTTCATCATCTTCGAAAGCCAATGATGATAATCATAATACAAATTATGCTAATCAAGGTATGACCATAAACTTTTCACCCCAAGATGACGAGTATTTAAACCTGCCACAACCAGCTGACAGAAGAAGTTCGTTAAATACTAGTAACACTAAACGGAACTATTGGAGAGAAGTAGTGATCGAGCTATTGGTAGGTTCCGATTCTGATATCGATAATGACGGTAATAATATTTTGGTTGAGACTACTTCGACTAAATGCTCTTTTTAAAATACATATATTGGGACGATTAAAAATGATTAGTAGTTACCTAAATCTTTTCCCGAAAATAAACATTTCCAAAATTTATTAATGTATATTAAATTTTTATTAGTGTCTTATAAAGATACTTATAATAGGCATATAAGTTATCAATTTCATTTCACTGATGGGGTACATTACATTTAATTAAATTATTTTAAGCACACAATTTTATTTAAATAAATATGAGTCTAACCTACATTTAATGTTCGATGAATTAAAAAAAATAAATAGTTAAAGAGATTTTTGTACTTGACTTTTTCAATATAAATTTGTAACTTAGGCTTATTTTTTTTAAATAAAGCTTGATGTTCTCGCTAGCTTTCATTTAGGTTTAAAAGAAAGAAAATTATTATGCTCCATAGAGGTGGTCTAACTCATATTAAAAAATTTGTTAATATTAGCTAAGTCATTAGTAGTGAGTCCAGAAGACGCTCAAAAGAACAGACGTCTTATATTAAATATGCTCATAAAATGTGGCGACGTTTCTAACCCATGTAGGCCTTTGGACATTTGTAAAGAATGGTCTAAGCGAATCGCAGAGGAATATTTTGAGCAGGTTTTTAATTTTGATTTATTTTGGTACGTTATCAATGCTCAATCACCCATATTTTACTTCGTTTAAATTTTAAAATACAAAAAAATGTATTTATATACATTATTTTAAAAAAATGTTTTTTTTACAACTTAATCGATAACATGTTAATTATATATAAACTAACAAGTAACCCGTTATGAATGACGGGTGAATCAGAATTCTCTTTTTTATTTGATGACGGGTGATTCAGAAATTCCTTTATTTTATGAATGTATATATATTTTGATGAGAGATCATTCAGAAATTTTCCCTTATTTTGATAAAGTATGTTAGCAAAGTATATATTTAGTACTTACCAGATCAATAAAATTTATTATTTGCATTTATGTTATTTTACATTTTGAAAATATAATCATGAAATAAAATATAGTTGGCCAAAATTATTGACTTCGGGTATTCTACCTATCTTAAACTATTTGAATCATATAAAAAATTTTAACGTTTTCGATTTGTTTTCGTTAAGCCATTTTATTCAAGAGAATGATAGTAATTAATTAGTTCAATTCTACATCTATTTATTTTATTTCTATTAGCTAGGAAATATTCTTCTAAAATCTTCCTATCTATTAATTTTTATTTTAAAATGATGCAGGCTCTTATCAAAGAAATTTCACTTAGGAACCTAAGGATATAGGGAGGGAGAGGTTTGCATTTTTTTCAAATAAAATCTATATATTGTATCTATATTAAGTTAAAAAGAATCATACTAATAGTTTAAGTTATATCATTATCATATCAATTTTAGAATATGAATTAAAGCATATGCCTAGGCTTAGATTTTGCTAAAGGAAGGGGGGAAGGGGGAGAGGGGTAGAAACCTTTTATAGGCCTGAATTTTTTAATCAAAGTCCGGCCCAGACCCACTAAAAAATTTATAGACCCGGCCCATACTATATATTAAAAAAAATCCCAAGCCATAATAAGTTTCAAAATTTTTTACCAAGCCCATATCCAAAAATTTAATTTGCTCTATTGTATTGAATGAAAACAAACAAAATTTCAGTGTATTTAAGCAATCATTTTGTTTGCAATATTGAAGTTTATTATTATTAGAAGAAAAAAATTGATAATTTTTTTAAGCTAGCAATTGTTTTAAATATGCTTATATTTAAATGAAAAGATTTTAGGCTTAAGTCCATTTAAAAGATTTTCAAAAACTCAGGATGGCTAGAAAATATGATATTAAGCCTAGGTCTCGGGGGGGGGGCACTATTGGGTGGGGTTTTCTCCCATAAATTTAGTCCACTTATTGTAGACCTTTGGCTATATTCGATTTTTATATAAATAATGTTGGGTTTTCACTTTTTTAAATATAAAAATGCTTTTTTCTTAAAATTTTGATTTATAGTCATTTTTTTTAAAAGTGTTTTTTTGAAATTTCAAATTCTTCTTTATTATAATATATCACAGGGGCCCGCCCCGAGTGAGAATGAGAACCGTTATGCCAGAACGAACCTTTATAATTTTTGAACCGGTTTAATACCGTTTTTGTTTTATATATATAAATTATAACTTAGACCATAATAATTAATATCTTGCACTTTACTTTTTACTGGGAAGTTTTTATACTGGTAATTTTTTTTAATTTTACAGTTTATCTAATATTTATTTTATTAATAAGTGTAAATCGAATAATATTGCATAATATAGATAAATAAATATTTTTTTTATAACCTGACTATAATGCATGATGGAAATAAAAAAATGAAAAAGGGTAAAGGTTCATGATAGAAGGCCAGAATATCCAGCTTCATAATGGGGAGTTTGAGAAATTTATTGTATACTATCCGAAATACCAAATCAAATAAATTCAGATGATAAAATAGAAAAATTCTTGCTTTCTCAAGAAAATGTCTCAAGATGTGATGGGGCTTGAAATTGTAAATAACAATTAGAGTGATAGTTTTCTTAATCAATTTATATAATGCTGAAAGAGTCCGGAAAGATACTTACTTAATGTTATGGGAGTCAAAAATAATATGTACTGAGTTATTTCAGCTAGCTTTATTCAGGCTTCCATCAACACAAGTTTCATTTAAAAGAGCATTCTCGGGATAATAATTTATTCTATTATCACAGCGTAAGCGTACAAATATAAATTCTGTACTTTTGGAACATATTAATTATATGTTCAAATCATATATTCATTATAAATCTCAAATATTTATTATAATTTGTAATTTGTATAATAACTAGTCATTTACGTTTTTGTGTCTTTCTGTTTTTTATTTTAATTTTTTTAATACAAATAAATTTTTTAAAACCTGATAAAACTATAATAATAAATCTTAACCGAACCGGAACCTTTATAATTGTTTGCTCCTGGACTGTAATCGAATCGGACCTTTATACAACGGTTCAGGCCCCTGATATATTGTATACATTGGAGGTGGGGTGTAGGAGAATTTTTTTGTCAGCTTAAAATGATATTTACGAGAATAGTGTAATTTTTCCTTGTTCTCTCCTGGCTATGTCTATGAATAAGGAATATATTTCGCATTAAATGACCTTTTTTATATGCTCATTTGTAAATAAATAACTTTCAATTGTTTTTTTTAAATCTTCTGAATAAATTTTTTTTTTAAAAATAAACCTTTATTTTTTTAGACCGACGAAGAGAAAAGGTTAAATTTACCTGTCGTTATGCCAACTTTTGACAGGCACACTTGCAATATTCCTCAATCTCAAATATCATTCAACGATTATTTTGTTTTCGGGATGTACGAAGCCTTTGATTGTAAGTTCCTTTTAACTTAATTGTTTTTTTACTGACAAAATTTCAATCAATAATTATAGGGGTGAAAGGGGAATATATAATTTTTTTTAAAAGAAAATTTTTTTTTCTAAATTAATTTAATTTTTTTATATTTTCAAATAGAGAAATCTGTAAACTGAATGCAATTTCAGTAGATAAGAAATTAAATTTTAATATTATAAGATCATGCGCATCGCATATTTTCAATTAAAAAAGATTTTTTATGATAGAAAAATTTAATATTTAAAAAAATATCTATTTTAAAAAAATATCAACAGCATTTTGTAGCATTTCAGAACTTATGGAAAATTCTAAATACAATTACAGATACTGGAAATTAATGGCGGACGATATTAAACAAAAAAGGTTAAGCGCTGCTCAGGTCTTTTCAGATATATCCATCCCAATTACTACAATCAATAATTCAAAATAGTAGGAAAAAAATCAAATTCACTACAATGTGTTATCGAAACACATAGTTTGGGAGTTTCATATTTTTCAACATGAATTCCCAAAATTTGTCGACACCTTTCACTTTTTCAAAAATATTTATAACAAATTTTTAGATTTTTTTTGGCGTTTATTAGCTACATAAAATAATATTAAACCAAAAAAGATTTATTGTAATGAATATCGTATATTTATAAATTAATATTTAAAGTTAAACAATAGACTTAAAATTGTACCTCCTCTTATCAACATTTGATTTGATTTTTTTAAATACAAATATTCAAATTTTGAAAAATAATCCGTCCACTTGAGATTATGCTAGTCTAAATAGGGAATTTTTCAAGTTGATTCAATCGATTAAATATAATAAATGAGTAACAATTTGACGTAATATATTTTTTTTAAAGCTGAAAAATTTAATATTATATTTTAACTTAAATAAATTATTTAATTATAGAGTTAATAATTTTTTAAAATAGAGAAATATATAGGAAATTTTTTATTATTAATTGATTTTCATATTTATTTTGTGTAACTTATTTATCATCATATCTGAATAGCCACTGCCTTAATAATAAATATAAATTTTATGAAATTTATTGTATTAATATTAGAAATATAAAATGTATATAAATCGCATATTTATTAAATAATTGTATTTTATTATTCATAGATTTGTATTTATAATAATAAACTAAATAAATTAAATATAATTCAACCTATTAAGCACAATAAAAATTAATTACATTAATGATTTATTATATCATAAGTGAAAATATGTTAAAGATTACAATAGAGTGTTCAAAACAAATATGTTTTATATTTTTAACCCAAAATTTTTTTAGTTACAATTTTTTTATCTATTTGATTAACGAATGACAACGCTACAGAACCTACGTCAACTAAGTTTGAAATTATAACCTAAAAGTAAAACTTATATTCATAATTTTTAAAACTTTAGCCTCTATTTTCATGGTCGGAAGAAAAATTAGCGCAGGTAAAAAGAATCCTAATCAAAACAACGATTTTAATGACGGACTGAACAAAGTATGCTGCTACATATCTGATATTTTTAAAATAGGAAGTTAAAACTGTGATCTTAAGTAAACTTAGGTCCTCCAAAGTTTGTCTATATCATAATTAAAGTTATTAAGATATACATAAATTAAAGTTAATAAAGTAGCCCACTACTTTTTTCATATTTGTAATCGTTAACATTAATATTCAAAAGTTGATAGTGTTAGCTTACGCGCTATTATTAATTTTTTGAAAGTAGCAAATTTTTACCTAAATATTATATAGTTGCCATTATTATCCAAAAATTAGACCCAAGTTTTTAATCAAGATAGATTAGCAATTAGTCTAATCTATACCTGTATATCAATTATTCTATGCATTTTGATACAATATTTACATTTTTTAATTAGATAATATTTTTTTCTCCATACTAGATTAATACTAGTTATTCTCAATCTGATTTAAGTAATAAAAACTACTTGATTCCCTTCTCTGAAGTTAATTCAACTGTTAAATTAATTAATTTTATCTTTTTTGAAGGTTCTTTTTTATTTACCTTATAAAAAATTATTTACCTTATAAAAAATGTTAAATGAAATTTTTTTAAATATTTTCCAAATTACTTTTTTTAGATAACATTATTAAAATTTTTAAGCTAACAACAACTACGTCAAAATTACATTTGGTAAAAAAAAATTTGAAAATTTTGAGGTGGCTCCTCAAATTTTTCAAGGTCGGGCCCCTGCACCTCTCCCCCTAGTGACGCTACTGATTTATTCATACCAATAATAGCTAAAAGGCCAAGTGTTGGCCTTACGCCCTAATCTTCTTCCAGGGTCTAGTTTATTACAGCTAAAATCTATCATTCAAACGAAAGTTTTTACTTTCCTAAATAATTGCAACTTGATTTCGATAACACATTTTATGTCACACCACCTCTTAATATTTTTAACAGTCTCTTATTCCATCGTTCTACTTAATCAATCTTTCCTAAAAACCGAGCTCACAAAAAAGATATCTCATAGTCCTTTTTAATAACTGAATATTTAGACAAAATTTATAATTTTAAAAAATCTTTTAATTATACGTTGTAAATAGACAATTATTATAATTGTATATATTATATCTAAATAATATGTCAAACTGAATAAAATATAATATTTAATAAGAAATTATATCGAGAATATATTTTTTTATTTATATATATTTCCTTAAGAGTTTATCTGTGATTTAATTTGATTCAATTATAAAAATTATAACCCAAAAAAAGATAATAATATAATCATAATATTATTATGTAGTACCGATCTTCATTTAGATATAAAATGCAAATTTAATACCAATTACATATCAATTAAATAAACTGGCCAAAGATTAAAAAATATAGATTTCTTAGCCCATTTATCTGTATCTAGCTAGCAGTGACGAGGCGTCAAGTTTACTACTAGGGAAGCTATCAAAAAAATTTTTTATTTTATTTATTAGTCAGACCATAAAAAATTAAGATTTTATAAATAAGCGGAATTCGTCTTTGTTTTTGAGTAAAATGATCCAGTACTGAATTATAAAAGTTATTACTAGATTTTAAATTTTTCAATAATTTTTTTTCAATAGAAATCAAAGCTAGATTTGATAATCGATTTTGACTCATTCTGTTTCTACAATAAGATTTGATTATTTTTAAAGATGAAAACCCCCGTTCTGCACTTGCTGTTGTTGCAGCCAAAGTTAAAATGAATTTGCATAATTTAAAAAACTCTTTAAAACTTTTCATCAAATCGGTATTAATTAAAAATTCAAGTATTTCATAAACATTTTTTCTCTTTCTAAATTCATCGTCACGAAACACTACCTTTAATTCGGTTTCCAGATTGTGTAAGTCGAAAAATTGAGAATAAGTGTCATTTAAATTGTCTAATAAATATTTTGGGAAATTTTGATTAAATATTTGAAATTTACTAATATCTAACAATTCGACGAATTTGATATTTTTTAATGTATCAAACCGAAAATCAATTTCATTGGTTATAGTATCTATTATTTTAATTATCAAATTTTTATAAAATTCTCTTGTATAAGGCAATCCGGATCTTTTACGTTTTTTATCTAAATTGTCTTCAATATTTTCCTTTACATTTAAATTTCTCCAAAAAACATCAAAGTTTTCTATGTTAGATTTAACTGAATACTTTTAAGACAATATGATACATCATTAATTTAAGTTTGAAGTATATCAAATAATAAATCGGATTCTAGAAAAACTTCTTGAAAAAAATATAACAAAATTAGAAAATTTGCATCATTTAATATATTTAAATAACCACGAGATGTTATTAGAACATCATTATCCCAAACAATATCAGATTCTTCATCAATCATACTTTCAAAAAAAACGACTAGATCCTTCAAATAATTGAAAACTGTTTGAACCAGCCGATCATTGTATTCCCATCTTGTTGGGGCTACTCGTGGTAATCTTTTTTTAACATATTTATCAAATTCTGCTGTACGCTTAGATGATGTACTAAAAAAACTGGCTAAACCAGATAAAGTTGCAAAAAAAACCTTGCATCCTTTAATTTTGCTGCAAGATTTTGATAATATAAGATTTAACTTGTGGGCAAAACAATGAATATAAAGTGCAGAAAGATTGACGTCTCTAATTTTTGCTTGCAGTCCATGTGAATCACCTGACATAACAGCTGCGCCATCGTAACTTTGACCTATCAATTTTTTGATAATTTTCTTATCATTCAAAAATTTAATGACAAATTTTGATAAAGAATTAGCATCACGATGCATTGTAACATCAAAGAATTCAAGAAATCTTTCATATAATGTCCCGTTATTTAAAACATATCGAAGAACTACAGCCAGTTGGGATTTATTATTTATATCAATTGTTTCATCTAATATTGTTATAAATTCCGTTTCTTCCAATTCATCTAATATTTTTTGGTGTAAGACATATGAAATGGAATTAATTAAATCATTTTGGATATCACTTGATAGTCCAATAAAATTTGTACTATTTTCTAAATGATGTTTTAATAGCAAATTTTCTTCCGTGAGCAAATAAATTAATTCAATATAATTTCCTCTATTTACTGAATTAGGTGATTCATCATCACCATGGAATGCGAGCTGCTGAACTCCAAGAAAACATATAGAATTGATTAAAATTTTCAATATTTCTCTATTTGATTTAACTTTCGAATTATGCTGTTCGATTGATATTTTGCGCATCGAATCTATCATATTTTCAATACGAATTTCGTCAAATGTTTTTAAATGAATCATCGACTGCAAATGAGCTGTTGATTCTTCATGTCGTTTAACTGCCTTTGAAAAATTATTCATATCCGAAAATCCTCTATCATTCCAAACATATTTTTCCTTTGGGAATAATAAGCATGACCAACAATATAGAGAATTAGAAAATTCACATCCAGTGAGCCATTCATATTTATCGATAGAAAAATTACGAATGCAAGATTTTATTTCTTTTTTTAAATTTCTTAAAATTGGCTTTGGTCTTCCTTTTTCAATAATTAATTTTTTGGTATCAAAATTTCTTGAGCTAAATGATAATATTAATAAATTATCAATAATACAATTACAATTATTAAACATTAATTTAAAGAAAAAAAATTTTTATAAAAAAAAATTTAATATAAAAAATTTATTTTTCTTTTATAAAAGAATAAGAAATTTTTTATTTGCTTCCCCAATGCTTATTTTTTAATCGTAAAATTAAACAATATCATAACATGATTTTCTATTTATTTATTGAAAAAATAAGCAATATTAGATTTGCTTCCCTCTTGTATATTTTTTTTAACGTAATAAAAAAATTACACCAAAAAAATATCGTATGAATCATGATTTATTGGTATATTTATTATAGGAAAATAAGCAATATTAAATTTGCTTCCATCATTTTTTAACATAGTTAATATAATAGTAAATTTTTTTACGTAGTAAAAATAATAGTAAATTTTTGAACGTAGTAAAAATAATAGTAAATTTTTTAACGTAAATTTTTTATCGTAGTAAAATATTATAAATCTTTTTAACGTTATAAAAAATATATTAATTATTTTAAGGAAGTAATTTTTTTTTTTAGCATAGTATAAAGATTATATTAAGTTTATCTAAGAATTTTGTAAAAAAAAATTTCATGGACGCTTCGTCCCTGCTAGCTAGATATATATATGTAAAGTATCTTTTAACAACTATATACGAATAATGTGATACCAAAAGAAAATGGTCAGGTTGAAACAAGAATGATTTCGTTTACGATGACCTTTTTTTTCATCAAAGCATAATAATATAAATATTATCCACATAAAAGAAATTTTTAAAACCTCATTTCTTTCCAGGGCTAGTTTTGAGCTTAGTAAGGCTAAACAAAACTCACCGATGTCCGTTCTTCTCTAGACTTGAAGATGATAATTTTTGAAGGTTTTTTTTTATCTAAGGATTAACGAGCTACTAATAAAAAATGTTAGCAATTTATTAGCGCTCTACTTTGAAAAATATTTAGCTATAGCGCTCTACTTTGAAAAATATATAGCTATAGCGTGTTACCTTAAAAAATAGCTAACTATGTTTAAAAGTCTTTAACAACACTCATTAATTTAAAATACTTTGGAAAAATATTTAAGAAA